TTGGGTACTAAATTCTTCTTTCATCCACAGATCTAACAGGTACACTATTCCTTGCTCTCCTAATTTGCTTATGGTATCACCCTTTATATATAAATCATGTACCCATTTTTGACCTTATCTTGGTATATGGTGTGAGATGTTGGTCTATACCTAGTTTCTTTTTTTGTCTTTAAAGTTTATGTTTTATTTTGTTTTGTTTTTGGCCAGGCAATGGGGTCAAGTGACTTGCCCAGGGTCACACAGCTAGTAAGTGTTATGTGTCTGAGGCTGGATTTGAACTCAGGTCTTCCTGAATCCAGGGCCAGTGCTCTATCCACTGTGCCACTGTTGTTGAAATTTATGCTCAGTAGCTAGAAAACAATTTATTAATTATAGTATCTGGATATTACTTACGAAGTGTTTTCCCACCCACTATCTCATTTTATTTTTGTAAGAAAGACAGTTATTATTCCTACTTTACAGTGAGGAAAACTTGTTGAATATATGTAGCAAAGTCAGACCTATATTCTACATTCTCAGTGGAAGATGTCTGCTTTGAGTTCAAGTGCTATTTCATTAGCAGCCTCTATAAGTAATTGATGTCACTGTATACCAGGGCTAGAGAATGTCATGATAGCTGTTCTTTTATTTTTAATCTTTATTTTTTGGTAAGCAATGGAGTTAAGTGACTTGCCCAGGATCACATAGCTAGTAAGTGTCAAGTGTCCGAGGCCGGATTTGAACTCAAGTTCTCCTGATTCCAGGGCCTGTGCTTTATCCACTGGGCCATCTAGCTGCCTCGATCGATAGCTCTTCTTTTAGCAGCTTGAGCATATGCATTGAACATGGTACAATGGGAGGGGTGTTAGATTTAGAATCAGGGAATACCTGAGTTTGAAACTTACTGTGTGACCCTGTGCAAATCTTTTTTTTTGTAAATTATTAAAATTTTAAGCAAATACAACATGAGAAAAGAAAAAACAGAACATTGGTATGTACACAGAAGACCATAAGAGAGGATCCAATATAAAACAATACATTTCCATTTCAAAAAAACCTATACAAGAAATACTATATATTGTTTTCAAAGCTGCCTAGTTTTTCTTGTCTTCCTTGTTGGTTTTCTGTTGTTCTCTGCTGGGCACTTTTAACTTTTTTTTTAATCTTCTCTGCTCCCCCTACCCTAAAGAGGCATGGAGATACATACACACACAGATGTCTATAAACATACAGGCATATACACGTATACACTTACGCATATATGTAAGACCATCCTATGCTTATTTCCTCCTATCATCTGATTCTCTGAAGGTGGATAAGTCCAAGTCTTTCCATGGTTTTCTAAATCCACCAGCTCTTCATTTCTTATACCACAGTCATATTCTAATCCAATCACATCCTATCTGAGACATTGTCTATGAAAGTTTTCCCCCAATTTTCTGCATTCCTTCTGTTCTTGGCTACATAGGTTTTATTTACACAAGAAAATTTTAATTTAAAATAATCAAAATTATCCTTTTTATACTTCAACAATGCTCTCACCTTGTAATATTGTTTGAGGTCTGACTGCTGAATCTACTTCTTTCTTTTTATTTTTTTGGGGGTGAGGCAATTGGGGTTAAGTGACTTGCCCAGAGTCACGCAGCCAGTAAGTATTATGTGTCTGAGGCCAGATTTGAACTCAGGTGCTCCTGACTCCAGGCCAGTGCTCTATCCACTGTGACACCTAGCTGCCCCTAAATCTACTTATTTTGCACCTTTTTCCTGGTTTCTTTGAAGTTTTTGACCTTTTGCTCTTCCAAATGAATTCCCAATAGCATTAAAAAAAAGTTCACATGAAGATAAGATGTCTTTATTTCCCAATAGCATTAAAAAAAAGAACATTCTTATGAAGATAAGATGTCTCTTCCAAATGAACTTTGTTATTATTTTTTCTAACTCAGTAATATAATTTTTAGTAATTTAATTGGGATGACATTGAATAAATAGATTAGTTTTAATGTGAAATTGTCATCTTAAAAATGATATTGGTTTCACCTATCCATGAACAATAATATTCTTTCAATTATTTAGATTAGAGTTTATCTGTGTAAAAAGTGTTTTGTGTTTATGTTCATATAGTTCTTGTGTCTCTTTTGGCAGGCATTTTATACTGTCTAGATATTTTAAATGGTCTAAAACCATATTGAATAATATTGCTGACATAGTGTAGTTTTTCTGTTTTTTCACTTCTAATTAAATCCATTTTAACTTTATCTTTGTTTGAGATCATGATTACCATCCCTGTTTTTTTTTACTTACTAAATTCTACTCCTGCTCTTTGTTTTATCTTTGTATGTATCTCTCATTTTTATAATGTCTCCTGAAAGCAACATATTGTTGAATTCAAATTTTTAATATGCGATCAATTTCTGTTTTATAGGTAAATTCATCCCATTCACCTTCTAAGCTACAATTACTTGTGTGTTTTCCTTTTTCCTAGTTTTCCTCATTGTCCTTCTCACCCTTTTTCTTATCTCTTCTTACTCTTCTGCTTTCCTTCTATCCTCTACCTTGCCCTCCTATTCCTTAAACTGCCCACTTCTCCCTTATCCTTTCTCCCACCCTATCACCTTGCCCTCTTATTTTTCCTGAATTTAGAAGACTATTATACCCTTCCATATATATATATATATATATATATATATATATATATATATATATATATATATATATATATACACACACACACACACACACACACACATACACACACACACACACGTATGTTGTTCTGTCTTTACCCCATTGCTGATGAGGGTAAAGTTCCAGCACTACCCACTACTATCTTCTTCTCTATCAATTTTTCCTTTCGTGCCTCATTTGTATGAGAAAATTACTCCTTTTTGTCTCTCCCTACACAGTTTATTTTTTTAGAATCACCCCATCAAACTCAGCTTGACCTACGAATTTCTTTCAAACTGTCCAAATAATGATGACAATCATGAAAATACTGTTAATATCTTCACATATATGAAGCAAACAATTTGACCTTATTGAGTCCCTTATAATTGGTCTTTAATGTTTACCATATTTCTCCCGGATGTTCTATGTTGAATTTTCCCTTAAGTTCTGGGGTTTTGTTACAAAAACCTGAGTCTTTGAATTAGTTAAATGTCCGTTGTTTTTTTTTTTTTCCATTCAGCATTATACTTAATGTTGCTGGGTAAAATTACCCTTGGTTGTAGCCCCAGCTCTTTTATTCTACAAAATACAGTATTCCAAGACCTACAGTCCTTCAACACAATAGCTGCTAAATCTTGGGTAAACCTTATTGTAGCTCCATGATATTTAAATTTTTTTTTCTCGTTGCTTCCAATATTTTCTCCTTAACCTGAGAGCTTTGAAACTTGGCTATGATATTCCTGTAAGTTTTCCTCCTGGGATCTGTTTCAGGATGGTGATTGATGGATTTTTTCTATTTCTGCTTTGCCTTCTTGTTCTAGAACTTCAGGGCAATTTTTCTTGATAATTTCTTGTATCATATTAAGATTCTTTTTTTCCATCATAAGTTCATGTAGTCCAACTATTCTTACATTCTTTCTCCTTGATCTGTTCTCCAGATCAGTTGTTTTGATGAGATGTTTCACTTTCCCTTCTAAAGTTTTATTTTTTTGATTTTGTTTTATAATTTCTTCGTGTTTTAGAACATCATTAGCTTCCCCTTGCCCAATTCTAGTTTTCAAGGAATTATTTTCTTCTGTAAGTTTATTATTTTCTAGTTCCAGTTGGTTGACTTTCTTTTCACAATTTTCTTAATTTTCTTGGATTGCTCTTATTTTTTTTCTAATTTTTCCCTCAATCTCTCTTATTTGATTTTTAAAGTCCTTTTTGTGGACCATTTGATGTTTCTCATTGAAAACAGAGTGGCCTTTTTTTAGCTCCATTATCTTCCTCTGAATATGAACCCAGACTTTCTCTATCCCCGTAATAACTATTTATGGTTGGGTTCCTTCTCCTTTGTTTACTCATTTCTATTTATTCATTCATTCATTCATCATTCATTTATTTATTTATTCATTTATTTATTTGTTTATTTGTTTGCTTGTTCATTCATTCATTTATTTCTTTATTCATTCATTCATCTATTCATTCATCTATCTATCTATCTATCTATCTATCTATCTATCTATCTATCTATCTATCTATCTATCTATCTATGTTTTTAGCAGCTATTAGTGTAATCAAATTGTAGTCCCAAGGTATGGGGAATGATGCCCTAAACCTTGGGTCTTTCTTACTGTTATTTTCTGAGGTCTATCTTGGGCCCAACCTTGGGCTCTCCTCTCTATTCTAAGCCACGGGCAGGGCCCCTAGCCCGACTGTCCCACAAATGATCTTCCTCCCTGTGCTCTCTTCGGTGGCTGCAAACTACAGCTGTCCTCTCTGCCCTAGAACTGAAACCAGGGACTCAGCTCTCCTGCAGGTGCCCACAGCCATCAGGGTCCCTGCCCCTGACTGCTGCACTCAGCAGGTGTATGCTAGTGTCTTCTCCTTGCAGCCACAGCCTCGGGACGCGTCTGGTCAGCATGGCTGTGCTTGGTGTCCCTCAACAGTAGAAGGTCCTTCAGTCTTTTCCTACTCAGTTGTCGTACCTCCACTATACCTAATTTCTAGGTTTTCCTAGAAACTGTTTTCCAGTTTTCCTACCAGCTTTTGTCGAATAGTGATTTCTTGTCCCAGAAGCTTGGATCTTTGCATTTATCAAACACTAGATTACCATGCACCTAGTAGACTTTAAAGGGAGAGATAATTTTCACTCTCATTCTCTTCCTCTTTTGGGAACAGGTGTCTTGGAACTCTGTCTGGAATTTCTTGCAACAGGGAGAAAGGGATTTCTTCTTCACCTCCCCCACTCATCAACCATGGTGACAGTTCGTAGGTAGCATATTAGAGCATTTGCTTGTCTTGGTGAGCCTGAGCAAGGATCTTAAGGCTCTCTACCTGCCTTTTCTACCTTGTGTTTCTTTCCCTAAGTACAGGTGACTGAACAATGAACCTGAGACGGATATTTCCTGAGTAGAAGGCAATCTTCTGAGTTCTGGAGTTTGGAGAAAATGATTCAACAACAACAGTGGCTCTAGGGCTGTGGATGAGAAGATGACCTGACTGGAGGCTCATCCCAAGCCCCGTCCTGGATTGTCGAAAGACATGAACCTTGAAGTGTGGACAATTCAAAGCAAAGCTGGAGATGAAATTCCTGTTCAGCAAGGTCCCACTAGATTTTTTCAGTGTAATGCTGGTGTTGCCTTGAAGAAGCAAGACCCCCGAGCAGATGCTGTCTCAGAAGTCCACCAGTGAATGATGTTTTGGATTTGGGACTTTGGGGAGTGTTTTGGTAAAGACTTCTGGGCGGGGGAGGGGACGCAGGAAAGAGAGAAGGAAGGAGGCAGAATTCAGAAGCTCACGGGTGGAGAGCCCATCTACCATCTTGGGACCACATGGGCAGACTCCAGGAGGTTTGGAACATTTCGCTCCTCAGTTCTCCCCTTCGACGGCTGTTGGTGTTGCTGCAGTGACTTGGGTGAGGGTTGGCGAGCTCGCCCAAGCATTCTTTCAGAGGACATTTCCTTCTTTGCAGTTGATTCTGGGTAGGAAGTAAGTCCCATTAAATGAGCAGCTCCACTGAGTTTTTGTTTTAGTTTTTAACCTCAGTCTTCCCCACGAGGAAATCGAAACCAGTAAGAGCCAAACTTCTGCCGCCTCAGCTAACAGCACCTAGTGCTGTTTACCATGTAGTCAATGACTTGTAAGCCTCTCCTTTTGTTCCTGTTCTTTCGTTGTTATCATTTGTTTCCCTTTATATAAAGAAAGCCTAGTGGCTTGTAGTCCTTCTGGAGAGAAGTTTGGGGGAATGTTTGGGTTTGGATTGAGAGTAAGAGAAAAACTTCACTTTAGTAAGGCTCCAGAGTAGAGGCGGTAGAAGTGATCTACTCTCTGGGGGAATCACAAACGCCTTGTTGTTGTTTTTTTGAGTAATATTTTATTTTTTCCCAATTACATGTAAAAACAATTTTCAACATTCATTTTTTAAAATTTTGAGCTCTAAATTCTCTCTCCCCCTCTCCTTCCCTGACATGGTAAATACTTTGATATGGGTTATACATGGGCAGTCATGCAAAACATTTCCATATTAGTCATATTGTGAAAAAAAACACAGACCAAAAAAAAATATGAAAAAAAAGTGAAAAATAGTATGCTTTGACCTGCATTCAGACTCCATGAGTTCTTTCCCCGGAGGCGGATAGCATTTTTCATCATAAGTCCTTTGGAACTGTCTGGAATCACAAACTCACATTTTCTATTCAGTTCTGGTCTTTTCATCAAGAATGCTTGAAAGTCCTCTATTTCACTGAATGACCATTTTCCCCCCTGAAGGATTATACTCAGTTTTGCTGGGTAGGTGATTCTTGGTTGTAATCCTATCTCCTTTGCCCTCCGGAATATTATATTCCATGTCCTGCGGTCCTTTAATGTAGAAACTGCTAAATCTTGTGTTATCCTGATTGTGTTTCCACAGTACTTGAATTGTTTCTTTCTGGCAGTTGTAATATTTTCTCCTTGACCTGGGAACTCTGGAATTTGGCTACAATATTTCCTTTGGAGATCTCTTTCAGGAGGAGATTGGTGGATTCTTTCAATGTCTATTTTGCCCTCTGGTTCTAATATATCAGGGCAGTTTTCCTTGATCATTTCTTGAAAGATGATGTCTAGGCTCTTTTTTTGATCATGGCTTTCAGATAGTCCAATAATTTTTAAATTCTCTCTCCTGGATCTATTTTCCAGGTCAGTTGTTTTTCCAATGAGATATTTCACATTGTTTTCTAATTTTTCATTCTTTTGGATTTGTTTTACAGTGTTTTGATTTCTCATAAAGTCACTAGCTTCCAATTGCTCTATCCTAATTTTTAAGAAAGTATTTTCTTCAGTAATCTTTTGGACTTCCTTTTCCATTTGGCCAATTTTTCTTTTTAGGGCATTCTTCTCCTCATTGGCTTTTTGGACCTCTTTTGCCATTTGGGTTAGGCTATTCTTTAAGGTGTTATTTTCTTCAGTATTTTTTTGGGTCTCCTTTAGCAAGCTGTTGACTTGTTTTTCATGATTTTCTTGCATCACTCTCATTTCTCTTCCCAGTTTTTCCTCTACTTCCCTTACTTGCTTCTCAAAATCCCTTTTGAGCTCTTCCAAGGCCTGGGACTGATTCATATTTTTCTTGGAGGCTTTGGATGTAGGAGCTTTGACTTTGTTGTCTTCTTCTGGTTGTATATTTTGATCTTCTTTTCACCAAAGTAAGATAATATAGTCTGACTCTTTTTATGCTGCTTGCTCATGATCCCAGCCAATTACTTGAGTTTTAAACTACTTGTTAAGGTAAGAGTCTGCTTCCAATGTGGAGAATGTACTGTCCCTAGCTTCAGGGGTTTGTATAGCTGTTTTCAGAGATACTTGTAGGGACCTGTAAATTTTCAGTTCTTGCAAGGTGGTATGATAAGGGGCGAGGTGTTTACTCCTTTCCTGGCCTGTGACTACAAGTATTCCTTTCTGTTCTGTAACTGTGAGGAGGGTTTCTTCTCCACAGCCACTACAAGCTCCGCCACGCCAGCACTCCTCACCCCAGCACTGCCGCCCAGAACTGTGACCCAGATCCAAAAATGGGCAAAGCAAGAGAATCCTGCCTCAGCACTGGCAAAGAGATCCCTGCAGTCCCTCTCTGATCAGCCACTGGATTCCCCCTCAGTCTATGGGCTGGAAGCTCAGGAGGCAGCTGCCCCCCCCCCCAGGGCCACACTCTTGGGAAATGGAGCTGAGACCCTTCATTCCTCTCTCAGCACCGCAGAAACAGACTTTTCCCACTGACCTAAGTTGTCTTTTGCATTCATGGATTGAAGAGTCTGGAAACCACCTCAGCTGCCTGTGATTCAGTCCTCTGAGGCCTGCTCCAGGTTCGCTGCGGCCTGCGTGCCCATGCAGTGCTGAGCCGCGCTCATACACCTTTCTGATCAGTCATCCAGGTTGTCTTGGGCTGGAAATTTGTTTCACTCTGTCTTTTTGTGGATTCTGCTGCTTTAGAATTTGTTTAGAGCCATTTTTTATGAGTATTTGGAAGGGTTTGGGGGAGAGCTCAAGCAAGTCACTGCTTTCACTCCGCCATCTTGGCTCCGCCCCCCTCTGTCCTTCCTTCTCAAAGAAGACCACGATATCAGGAAGGTGATGCCATGACATGCAAGTGAATTGGATTACAGTGAGGCAGGGCTGTGCAAGTCACCAGCCTCACTTTCTCCTCCAGAGCCATCTGGGTCTAGTGACCAGATATGGCTCAGGACAACTGGAGATGGCCCAGGATGCAATAGGGGACCTTGGCCTGTTCAAGCTAAGGTCTTTAACAGGTCTCAGTTAATGTGCTAAGCACTGAGAATATAAAGAAAGACCAAAAAAAAAAAACCAAAAGATAAAAAAAAAATAGGCCCTGCCCTCAAGGCACAGCCAGTCTAATGGGGAAGATGACATAGAAACATCTATGTGCAAACAAGATACAGACAGGATAAATGAAAGAGAATCTCAGAAGGACGTCATTACGATGAAAGAGTGCTGGGAAAGGCTTCTTGTAGAAGATGGGGATTTCAGATGGGACTTAATGGAAGCTGGGAGGTGGCATTGAGAAAGGAGAACATTCTAGGAACAGGCCCGATCAGAAAAAATACCCAGAGTCAAGAGGTGGAGCATCTTGCCCACACAGAGGTAGGAAGTGATAGAGCCAGGATTTGAATCCACGTCTTTTTGCTCTGAATCTAATGATCTTTCCACTATGTCTCACTGCCTGTCCTGGTAAGGCAATCCTCTATTATTCCCATGCCTCCCTTAGAGCTACATGAAGTCAGTAACTAGACCAGGGGTGGGGAACCTGCAGCCTCCAGGCCACACGTGACCCTCTAGGTCCTCAAGTGCAGCACTTTGACTGAATCCAAACTTCATAGGACAAATCCCCTTAAAAAAAGGATTTGTTCTGTAAAACTTGGACTCGGTCAAAAAGTCGCACCTGAGGACCCAGAAGGCCATATGTGGTCTGGAGGCCAAAGGTTCCCTACGTCTGAACTAGTCAGTAAGCTCTTTGAGGGCAGAAACTATGTCTCATCTAAATTTTGTATCTTGGCCAAAGTTTAGGGCAGTGTTGTTCATAGAGATGAAGTTAGTAAATGTTTGTTGAATGAATGAAGTGGGTTGGTGGAGTTCTAGGTAATTCTGGGTTCTGGAATAATGGTGACCTCAGTGATGGGACCTGAGACTGAGATGGGAACTGACAGTGAGAAAGGGAAGCCACTCAGACGGGTGGGACCAATGGACTGAGAAGCCGTTGATAGAAAACGAAGATGTCACGAAAAGCTTCCTCTTTTGAAGAAAAGGAAATCTCATGGGATTCTCATTTCAGTCACTTACCAAGTGCCTATTGCATGCCAGGCACTGTGCTAAGGGCTGCTGTAAGCTTGCTGAAGGGGTGGCAAGGAGGGAGCAGAGCACTCAGGCGGTGAGCCGGGGGAGGTGGGGTTCTGGTAATTAGGACTGCAGGAGTCTAGAAAGCATAGAGAATGGACTGTGAGAGCTGGGAGGGGCTTGAGGATATGGAGTGGGGATGGAGTAAGAATACATGTGTTTGGAGGCTCCTTGGGCAAGTGTCAGAACTGGGAGGGCCCTCAGAACCCAGGATGTCAGCTGGGAGGGTCCTTAGAACAGAGAAGGTCAGAGCTGGAAGGACCCTTAGAACCCAGAATGTCAGAGTTGGGAGGGCCCTTAGAACACAGGATGTCAGAGCTGGGAGGGGGCTTAAAGATTATTAGGTAGTTGAGGAAACCGAGATAATAATAATAATAGTCTATATTCATATAGTGCTTTAAAGTTTACAAAGTACTTTCCAGATATCTCATTTGATCCTCACGACAACCTTGGAAGGTACTGGTATTATCCCCATTTAACAGATGAGAAAACTGAGGCTCTCCTCACTCACTGGCAAGACATGCTTTTTTTTGGAGGAGGGGGTTGAGGCAATCAGGGTTAAGTGACTTGTCCAAGGTCACACAGTGATGAAGTGGCTGAGGCCAGATTTGAACTCAGATCCCCTTGACTCCAGGGTCAGCGCTCTATCCACTGTGCCACCTAACTGCCCTAAAAGTGAGCGAGGTTAAGTTACTCAGCCTGTAAGTGTCTGAGGCTGGTTTTGAACTGCCTGACACTTTCTTCTCTCTAGGTCTTTGAGACGTGGCTCTCTCCTTGATCTCCTCCTATCTCTCTGACCTCTCCTCAGCCTCTCTTGCTGGATCTTCACGCAGGTCACACCCACTGACCATGGGCCTGCCACAGGGCTCTGTGCTGGGCCCTCTCCTCTTCTTCCTCTACACAGTTTCCCTTGGTGATCTCATCGGCTCCCATGGATTCAATGAGCAATGCTGATGATGCTCAGATCCCCTCATCCAGTCCTAGCCTTTCCATTGAGTTCCTGTCATGTCTCCAATCGCTCATTGGGCAACTCAAACTGGACATCGCACAGACACCTTGAATTCAACATGTACAACACCGGACTCATTCTCTTGTCCCCGAAACCTCCCCCTTTCCTCATTGCCTAACACTATGGAGGGTACCACCATCCTTCTCATTATCTAGGCTTGAAACTGAGGGGATGTCCTCGATTCTTTGTTCCCTATTACTCCCATATCCAATCTGTTGCCAAGGTCTACCTTCATAACATCTCTTGAAGCCTCCTTCTCTCCTCTGGCACTGCCACTACCCTGGTCTAGGTCTTCATTACCTGACACATGGATAGCCTGCTGGTGGGGCCCACTCCATCCCACTCAGCTGACAAAGTGAAGATCCCACCAGGTCACCCCTCTACTCAAAAAAATCCATGGCTCCCTATCTCCTCCAGGATTAATTACAAAACCCTCTGAACCCTTCATAATTTGTCCTTCGTTAGCCTTTCCAGTATTTCCAGGACCCTCCATACTTTTTGATTTAATGACACGGT